CCTCGGTGCAGTCCCACATGCGCCGCTGCTTCAAGGTCTGGAGGAAGGCCAGGGTAGCTCTGTCCCGAGCTTCGGCGTACATGCAGAGGCAAGCCAACCGTCACCGGTCCCAGGCTCCCGGTTACTCTACTGGTCAAGAGGTATGGCTTAAGTCACGTGATCTTCCATTGAAAGTAGAATCCAAGAAGATGGCGCCGCGTTTTATAGGACCGTTCAAGATACTGTCTATTGTTAACCCCTGCGCGGTCAAACTACAGCTTCCTGCCTCCCTACGGGTTCATTCCACTTTTCATGTGTCCCAGCTCAAGCCTGTGTCTGTCAGCCCTCTGTGCCCGCCCTCTCGTCCCCCTCCTCCGCCCAGGATCGTGGGTGGGGGTCCTGTCTACACTGTCCGGCGACTTCTGGATGTTCGCCGCCGGGGTCGTGGTTTCCAGTACCTGGTGGATTGGGAGGGTTATGGTCCTGAGGAACGTTCCTGGGTGCCCAGGAGCTTCATTGTGGATCCTGCTCTGGTCCGTGAATTTCATCGGTTACATCCCGATAAACCCTGTCGGCCGCCAGTTGGCGTCCGTAGAGGGGGGGGTACTGTTAGGCCTACTGCTGCTAGGTAGCTCTCTCTCTGCTCTTCCCCTCCCCTCTGTCTGTCCTTGATTGCAGGAGTGAAGTCTGGTGTGCGGGAGTCAGGGTTCCAGCTGCAGCTCATTCACCATAATCACCTCAGCCTTTAAGACCCGGTCAAACTTGCCACTCATCGTCAGATCATAGTCAAGACGACCATATTATTGGAACCTGACTCCTGCCTCCGCTTCACTCCTGCCACCACCATCCTGCTTTCCACTACCGGACCTCCCTTTTGGACTCACCACGGACACTAGGACATTACGGTACCACACCTGCCCTGACCTGGATCTGTTACCCTCCCTGTAACCTGGACTTGCTCTTCCCCTATTATTGGAAACCTGGACTATTGAACATTGTAAATAAACCTGTTAAACCTTCTCTGGCTTGGTGTAGTTGTCTGCATTTGGGTTCAAATCCAGTTAAATCATGACAAATAGGGTAATCCAATACTAACCAAAACAACAGAAATATAGTTCTCTCAATCTCCATCACATGAATTCTAATTACTCTTTTACATATGTAAATAACTGTAAAAGAAAAATATCTTTAGATGCAGCTCAATCAATTGACTGTAAACATGAACTCCCACGGGGGGCCAGTATGAAAAAATAAATAATGTATGCACTCACTAACTGTAAGTCGCTCTGGATAAGAGCATCTGCTAAATGAATAAAAATGTTTTAAAAAATGTACAAATGAACTCTGCAACCCATTAAAGTTACAACACAAATAGGCACATTCTTCTCTTCTCCTCTCCCCTGCAACTCTTCCCCGGGTCCTTAGTGTACAAGAGAAAGTAGTGCACTTTGTTTTCTGTCAATCTACCTAGTAAAATAATAGTTAATAAACAACTCTAAGGTCGGCCCTATAAAATCAGATTTTTTTCTCTCCCAAATTCTGTTAGATATTTGCCCAAATTATCTTCTCAGTTGAATTTTTCCTGGTTTTAGATTTCTTTTGTTTTAACTTTTAAAATTACAATTGTTCATAGAGAAACAACGAAATTGAATGTTCTGAGTCCATGTCAATGCTTAAATCACATGAGAAGAAAACTAACACATTTATATTTTTTTGTGTAATTCCCCTTTAAATGAGCATCCGGCCCTTTAATTGCACATCTAGCTAGTGAGGAAGGTGTTATCAAATGTGCAGGTCTAGTGATGGTTCTGTACTGCTGCTGCTCAATTCATGGCCAAGTTTGCAAATAACAAATAATATACAAACAATATACTTACTCAAAATAAAGGGAACACTTAAACAACACAATGTAACTCCAAGTCAATCACACTTCTGTGAAATCAAACTGTCCACTTAGGAAGCAACACTGATTGACAATAAATGTCACATGCTGTTGTGCAAATGGAAAAGACAACAGGTGGAAATTATAGGCAATTAGCAAGACACCCCCAATAAAGAAGTGGTTCTGCAGGTGGTGACCACAGACTACTTCTCAGTTCCTATGCTTCCTGGCTGATGTTTTGGTCACTTTTGAATGCTGGCGGTGCTTTCACTCTAGTGGTAGCATGAGACGGAGTCTACAACCCACACAAGTGGCTCAGGTAGTGCAGCTCGTCCAGGATGGCACATCAATGCGAGCTGTGGCAAGAAGGTTTGCTGTGTCTGTCAGCGTAATGTCCAGAGCATGGAGGCGCTACCAGGAGACAGGCCAGTACATCAGGAGACGTGGAGGAGGTCGTAGGAGGGCAACAACCCAGCAGCAGGACCGCTACCTCCGCCTTTGTGCAAGGAGGAGCAGGAGGAGCACTGCCAGAGCCCTGCAAAATGACCTCCAGCAGGCCACAAATGTGCATGTGTCTGCTCAAACGGTCATAAACAGACTCCATGAGGGTGGTATGAGGGCCCGACGTCCACAGGTGGGGGTTGTGCTTACAGCCCAACACCGTGCAGGACGTTTGGCATTTGCCAGAGAATACCAAGATTGGCAAATTCACAACTGGCGCCCTGTGCTCTTCACAGATGAAAGCAGGTTCACACTGAGCACATGTGACAGACGTGACAGAGTCTGGAGACGCCGTGGAGAACGTTCTGCTGCCTGCAACATCCTCCAGCATGACCGGTTTGGCGGTGGGTCAGTCATGGTGTGGGGTGGCATTTCTTTGGTGGGCCGCACAGCCCTCCATGTGCTCGCCAGAGGTAGCCTGACTGCCATTAGGTACCGAGATGAGATCCTCAGACCCCTTGTGAGACCATATGCTGGTGCAGTTGGCCCTGGGTTCCTCCTAATGCAAGACAATGCTAGACCTCATGTGGCTGGAGTGTGTCAGCAGTTCCTACAAGAGGAAGGCATTGATGCTATGGACTGGCCCGCCCGTTCCCCAGACCTGAATCCAATTGAGCACATCTGGGACATCATGTCTCGCTCCATCCACCAACGCCACATTGCACCACAGACTGTCCAGGAGTTGGCGGATGCTTTAGTCCAGGTCTGGGAGGAGATCCCTCAGGAGACCATCCGCCACCTCATCAGGAGCATGCCCAGGCATTGTAGGGAGGTCATACAGGCACGTGGAGGCCACACACACTACTGAGCCTCATTTTGACTTGTTTTAAGGACATTACATCAAAGTTGGATCAGCCTGTAGTGTGGTTTTCCACTTACATTTTGAGGGTGACTCCAAATCCAGACCTCCATGGGTTGATACATTTGATTTCCATTGATAATCTTTGTGTGATTTTGTTGTCAGCACATTCAACTATGTAAAGAAAAAAGTATTTAATATGTGTCGTTTAAGTGTTCCCTTTATTTTTTTGAGCAGTGTACTTCTGCCAGTTAAGCCTACTCTGCAGTTAAAATTTAATTGGAAAGGTTTTGGGGAAAGTATTTATGTCAACCCACAAGACAGTTATTACATCAACTGGCTACACAGAGTGAAAGACAAACACTCGCACCACACAGACAGACAGGGGCAATATTGCTGGAAATGAATTGTCAGATACTGTGTTAGGTTTGGCTTTTTAAGCCAATAGTGACTAACCAGTTGTGTGATAATGTAAATGTTGCATTGATTCGATTATAGCCGGGAGCTTGCTGTGTCTGATACTAGTGAGATTTGTTTATGACAGTTTGCGGTGTAACGTGAAAACTGCATGTACTTTCAGAATTGTTTGGCGAGCTGCTCATAAGTGGACTGCGAGCTACTGGTAGCTCACGATCAACCTGCTGGAGATCTCTGCTTCAGAGTGAAAGAAAAAGACAAAAAGAGAAAGGAAATTGCTGATGTCGTTGATATACTGTTGGAAAACAGGAAAAACTATTTCCCTTTCCAATGACCACTAGGGTCATACAAGTTTCCTTTTCCTAGAAAAGAGAGAGGGAGATAAAGTAAGTGGTCTAATATAAACAGTTTTCTTGTAATTAATAATGTCAGGGAGTAATTGGTTTCTGAAACGTTTCATGAGCTCAATTAGCTAAATGAGTCTAAAGGATGGAGAGAGAAGGGGAAAGAGAGAAGGAGAGGCAGAAGCAGGTACAGAGAGAGAAAGCAGGTACAGTGTGGTCCTCTGTAGCTCAGCTGGTAGAGCACAGCGCTTGTAACGCCAAGGTAGTGGGTTCGATCCCCGGGACCACTCATACACAAAAATGTATGCACGCATGACTGTAAGTCGCTTTGGATAAAAGCGTCTGCTAAATGGCATATTATTATATTATATTATTAGAAAGAGAACATATAGGAAAAACAGAAGAAAAAAACGACACAGATCCTGATAAAGCGATACCCTCTCTCTCCCTCCCCCATGATTGGTTGGCAAGGATTCTGATTCTCTACTCTTACATTTACATTTTAGTCATTTAGCAGACGCTCTTATCCAGAGCGACTTACAGTTAGTGAGTGCATACATTATTTTTTTCATACCAGCCCCCCATGGGAATCGAACCCACAACCCTGGCATTGCAAACGCAATCCCTGCCGGCAAAACCCTCCCCTACCTTGGACGACGCTGGGCCAATTGTGCGCCGCCCCATGTCTCCCGGTCGCGACAGAGCCTGGATTCGAACCAGGATCTCTAGTGGCACAGTTAGCACTGCGATGCAGTGCCTTAGACCACTGCGCCACTCGGGAGTAAGCACCTGCTCTTCTTGCCTCCCTTTGCCCTCATTGGCCCTAAGATCTCTAAGAGCTTAGGATAGGTGGAAGCTGTATGCTAAAAGCTCCATCTTTATAACAATGTTCAGTTAGAATTTGTATCACTTTACAATACATCACTGATGGTAAAATGTAAATGATACAAGAGAGTGTCATCTGGCTTTTATAATGCTTATTTGTTGGTTAGAGAGGAACATTGGGGGCTTTAACCCCAGAACTGTTCACATCAGAAAGTTTAGTTCATTATAGCATTACAGCATGGTGCTGTCCTCACACAGGGCAGAGAAGGAAGCCACTGAAGGTGTTGTGGTTATTATTACTATCATAGAGCCCCTGGCCTGAGGGGAGACGCATGTAGACCACACCCCCTCCTCCAGCTCTAGATTAGATTAGATTAGATATGTACTCATTATACCCATCATCCTGGTCATTGCTATACATCAGTCTCTTGTCATTGTGGTAAAGGTAAACAGCCATCCATTGGTCATTGCGGAGCTCGATGGCAGTGAATCTGATGCAGTAGACTCCTCTAACTGTTGCTGTGAAGATACCTGCATCAGAAGTGAAGCAGGGAGATATCAGCAATGTCCATCTCTCATAGACACTGTTAGTAATACTGAACTATAGCTGGATCCAGATTGTGTTCAACTCACATTTTATTTGTCACATGGGCTGAATACAACAGGTGTAGACTTTACTGTGAAATGCCCTAACAACGCAGAGTAAAAAAAGTTGTAGTAACACAGTAAAATAACAATAACGAGGCTATACACAAGGAGCACCGGTACCGAGTCAATGTGCAGAGATACGAGGTAGTTGAGGTAATTGAGGTAATATGTACTGTACATGTAGGTAGGGGTAGAGCTTGAGAGGATCAGCAGAGAAGAATGGGAAAACTCCCCAACTACAGGTGTGCCAAGCTTGTAGCATCATACCCAAGAAGACTCGAGGCTGTAATCGCTGCCAAAGGTGCTTCAACAAAGTACTGAGTAAAGGGTCTGAATACTTATGCAAATGTGATATTTCCGGGGGTTTTCAAATATAAATTAGCAAAACTTTATAAAATACTGTTTTTGTTCTGTCATTATGGGGTATTGTGTGTAGACTAATGAGGGGGAAAAAGCAATTTAATCAATTTTAGAGTAAGGCTGTAACCTAACAAAATATGGAAAAAGTAAACAGGTCTGAATACTTTTCGAAGGCACTAGATTTACTCTCACTGGCTGTCACTCTGGCCTCCAGGTCTGAAACAACATGAAGAGAAGCATTAATAGACAATAAAAAAAATTAAAAAACACAACACAATGAAAACCAAATATCACTTCTTATTTTTTTATAAAAGGGAATTAAATTTCAGTTAATCAAAAATGTTGATCAGACCATTAAGTAACAATGAGATTTAATCACCATTAGTTAACTTGAACTTAGTTAACCTATGTAATGGAGATGGTCTGTTGAGCCACGCTCCTGTGATGAGTAACCTTGACTGAGAACCAAGGTTCAAACCCACTCCATCACACCCACATACAGTATTCTTATGCAAACGATTATAGTGAATCACCTCTTTTCCTTACCTGCGTTCCCACTCTCGCTTGCTGTCACTCTGGCCTCCGGTGCTAACATCACTTGAAAGCAAACACAATTAACTAAACAGACAGTTCTAAAGGAACAATCAGTTAAATTATGATCAAGTATTAAACATAAACAAATAAATGTCATTTCAACCGTATTCTTACACATTGATTATGTGTGATGTGGCTTTATAATATTACCTGCATTCTGTCTTCAGCTCCTCCAACTCCTTCTCACTGGCTGTCACTCTGGACCCCATGGCTGACAGTTCAGCTGCTTGTCCTGGAATCATGGGAAACATTTTCTCAAAAATCTGTAGATATTTTACTGTACTGACTTCACAATGAACTAAACAAGTGTTAATGTTCATATATAATGGTGCATTACCTGCATTGTCTTTCTCCAGCTCCTCCACCTTGTTCTTCTGGAGCTGCAGTTCAGTCTTGGTGACACTCAGCTCCTCTCTAAGAGCCGTCACCTTCTTTTTCTGCTCCTCCACCTCCTTCTCACTGGCTGTCACTCTGGCCCCCATGGCTGACAGTTCAGATGCTTGTGCTGGAAATGTAGGAACAAATCAATTAACAAAAGCTGTTGATCCTCCAATGAACTGACCTCATTTATCAGGACGCTTCTAAGAAATCCCGCTACGACCTCCGACAAGCCATCAAACCGGCAAAGTGTCAATTCAGGACTAAAATTGAATCCTACTCCGCCGGCTCTGATGCTTGACGGATGTGGCAGGGCTTGCAAACTATCATGGATTACAAAGGGAAACCCAGCCATGAGCTGCACAGCGATGCGAGCGTACCAGACAAGCTACATTTACATTACATTTTAGTCATTTAGCAGACGCTCTTATCCAGAGCGACTTACAGGAGCAATTAGGGTTAAGTGCCTTGCTTAAGGGCACATCGACAGATTTTTCACCTAGTGTCGTCTATGCTCGCTTGGAGGCAATCAACACTGAACCATGCATGAGAGCACCAGCTGTTCCAGATGACTGTGTGATCTCGCTCTCTGTAGCCGATGAGAGTAAGACCTTTAAACAGGTTAACATTCGAAGGCCGCAGGGCCAGACAGAATACCAGAATGTGTACTCAGAGGATGCGCTGAACAGCTGGCAAGTGTATTCACTGACATTTTCAACCTATCCCTGACACGGTCTGTAATACAAACTTATTTCAAGCAGACAACCAAAGTCCCTGTGTCCAGGAACGCCAAGGTAACCTGCCTAAATGACTATCGCTCCATAGCACTCACATCAGGGGTGTGTGATTAGTCCCCTCCTGTGCTCCCTGTTCACCCATGACTGTGTGGCTGCGCACGACTCCAACACCATCATCAAGTTTTCTGACGACACAACGGTGTTAGGACTGATCACCGATGATGATGAGGTAGCCTATAGGGAGGAGGTCACCTGGCAGTGTGGTGCCTGGACAACAACCTCTTCCTCAACATCAGCAAGACAAAGGAGCTGTTAGTGGACTACAGGAAATGGAGGGGTGATCACGCCCCCATCCACATCCATGGGACTGTAGTGGAGCGGGGCGAGAGCTTCAAGTCCACATCACTAAGGTATTAACATGGTCCACACACACAGTTGTGAAGAGGGTACGACAGAGCCTCTTCGCCCTCAGGAGGCTGAAAAGATTTGGCATGGGCCCTCAGATCCTCAAAATGTTCTACAGCTGCACCATTGAGAGCATCTTGACTGGCTGCATCACCGCTTGTTAGGGAAACTGCAAGGCACTCGACCACAAAGCGTTACAGAGGGTGGTGAGTACGACCCAGTACATCACTGGGGCAAAGCTCCCTGCCATCCAGGACCCCTATACCAGGTGCTGTCAGAGGAAGGCCCAAAGAATTGTCAAAGACTCCAGCCACCCAATAATCTGAGATAGTAGACTCCTCTCACTGTTGCTGTGAAGATACCTGTATCAGAGGAGAAGCAGGGAGAGATCAGCACTGTCCGTCTCTCATAGACACTGTTAGTAATACTGGACCGTAGCTGGATTCAGTGTGTGTTGGATTAGTGTGGTCAGTACCTGTAGTTGGGTTGTAGGCGCTGCCAGTGTTGGTGAAGACTTTACTGTAGATCAGTGTGGTGTCAGTATTGAAGGGTCCTACCCCTCCTGAATCAGTCAAAGCAGCAGAGAAGGCCACCTTTGGTCTGTCCGTGAACACAGAGGATGTACTGAAAATAAGCACACATTATTAAAATGCATCTTCATGGCCTCCTGAGTGGCGCAGTGGTCTAAGGCACTGCATCGCAGTGCTTGAGGTTTCACTACAGACCCAGGTTCAATCCCTTTCTGTTATGCTAATCTTCTATCCCGCTCTTTCCTCTTCCACCTACATTTCCCTCCTCCCCTTCTCTCTATCCTACTCCATCTCCTCCTCTCTCTCTCCCCCCCCCCCCCTCTCTCTCTCTCTCTCTCTCTCTCCCCAACAAGCTGTCACAGTCTCTGCAGAATTAAACGTTTCTCCAAATGTCACATTTTGAAGTCGCTCCAAACATCACATTTCAAAGTGTTTTTGTTGCTCCTGTTGCTCTGTATCGTTCCATTTCTACAAACGTCAAAATTCTAAGTTAAGGGTTAAGTTTAGGTACTCATTCTGAATGGTTAAGGTTAGGGTTAAGTTTAGGTACTCATTCTGAATGGTTAAGGTAAGGGTTATGTTTAGGTACTCATTCTGAATGGTTAAGGTTAGGGTTAAGTTTAGGTACTCATTCTGAATGGTTAAGGTAGGGGTTAAGTTTAGGTACTCATTCTGAATGGTTAAGGTAAGGGTTAAGTTTAGGTACTCATTCTGAATGGTTAAGGTAAGGGTTAAGTTTAGGTACTCATTCTGAATGGTTAAGGTAAGGGTTAAGTTTAGGTGCTCATTCTGAATGGTTAAGGTAAGGGTTAAGTTTGGGTACTCATTCTTAATGGTTAAGGTAAGGGTTAAGTTTAGGTACTCATTCTGAATGGTTAAGGTAAGGGTTAAGTTTAGGTACTCATTCTGAATAATATAATATAATATGCCATTTAGCAGACACTTTTATCCAAAGCGACTTACAGTCATGTGTGCATACATTTTTACGTATGGGTGGTCCCGGGGATCAAACCCACTACCCTGGCGTTACAAGCACCATGCTCTTCCAATTGAGCTACAGAGGACCACATGGTTAAGGTTAGGTACTCATTCCGAATGGTTAAGGTTAGGGTTAAGATTTGGGATATGGTTAAAACATGAAGTTTAGGTACTCATTCTGAATGGTTAAGGTAAGCGTTAAGGTTTGGGATATGGTTAAAACATGAAGTTTAGGTACTCATTCCGAATGGTTAAGGTTAGGGTTAAGGTTTGGGATATAGTTAAAACATGAAGTTTAGGCACTCATGCCCTAGAGTCCCTCTAAGTTACATAACAAGAAATCCTGAAAATCACATTGTATGATTTTTAAGTAATTCATTTGCATTTTATTGCATGACATAAGTATTTGATACATCAGAAAAGCAGAACTTAATATTTGGTACAGAAACCTTTGTTAGCAATTACAGACATCATACGTTTCCTGTAGGTCTTGACCAGGTTTGCACACACTGCAGCAGGGATTTTGGCCCACTCCTCCATAAAGACCTTCTCCAGATCCTTCAGGTTTCGGGGCTGTCGCTGGGCAATAAGGACTTTCAGCTCCTTCCAAAGATTTTCTATTGGGTTCAGGTCTGGAGACTGGCTAGGCCACTCCAGGACCTTGAGATGCTTCTTACGGAGCCAATCCTTAGTTGCCCTGGCTGTGTGTTTCGGGTCGTTGTCATGCTGGAAGACCCAGCCACGACCCATCTTCAATGCTCTTACTGAGGGAAGGAGGTTGTTGGCCAAGATCTCGCGATACATGGCCCCATCCATCCTCCCCTCAATACGGTGCAGTCGTCCTGTCCCCTTTGCAGAAAAGCATCCCCAAAGAATGATGTTTCCACCTCCATGCTTCACGGCTGGGATGGTGTTCTTGGGGTTGTACTCATCCTTCTTCTTCCTCCAAACACGGCGAGTGGAGTTTAGACCAAAAAGCTATATTTTTGTCTCATCAGACCACTTGACTTTCTCCCATTCCTCCTCTGGATCATCCAGATGGTCATTGGCAAACTTCAGACGGGCCTGGACATGCGCTGGCTTGAGCAGGGGGACCTTGCGTGCGCTGCAGGATTTAAATCCATGACGGCGTAGTGTGTTATTAATGGTTTTCTTTGAGACTGTGGTCCCAGCTCTCTTCAGGTCATTGACCAGGTCCTGCCGTGTAGTTCTGGGCTGATCCCTCACCTTCCTCATGATCATTGATGCCCCACGAGGTGAGATCTTGCATGGAGCCCCAGACCGAGTGTGATTGACCGTCATCTTGAACTTCTTCCATTTTCTAATAATTGCGCCAACAGTTGTTGCCTTCTCACCAAGCTGCTTGCCTATTGTCCTGTAGCCCATCCCAGCCTTGTGCAGGTCTACAATTGTATCCCTGATGTCCTTACACAGCTCTCTAGTCTTGGCCATTGTGGAGAGGTTGGAGTCTGTTTGATTGAGTGTGTGGACAGGTGTCTTTTATACAGGTAACGAGTTCAAACAGGTGCAGTTAATACAGGTAATGAGTGGAGAACAGGAGGGCTTCTTAAAGAAAAACTAACAGGTCTGTGAGAGCCGGAATTCTTAATGGTTGGTAGGTGATCAAATACTTATGTCATGCAATAAAATGCAAATGAATTACTTAAAAATCATACAATGTGATTTTCTGGATTTTTGTTTCAGATTCCGTCTCTCACAGTTGAAGTGTACCTATGATAAAAATTACAGACCTCTACATGCTTTGTAAGTAGGAAAACCTGCAAAATCGGCAGTGTATCAAATATTTGTTCTCCCCACGGTATATACCCATCTACCAATAGGTCCCCTTCTTTGTGAGGCATTGAAAAACCTCCCTGGTCTTTGTGCTGGAATCTGTGTTTGAAATTAATTGCTGGACTGGGGGACCTTACAAATAATTGTATGTGTGGGGTACAGAGATGAGGTAGTCATTCAAAAATCATGTTAATCACTATTATTGTACACAGAGTGAGTCCATGCAACGTATTATGTGACTTGTTAAGCAGATCTTTACTCCTGAACTTATTTAGGCTTGCCATAACAAATGGGTTGAAAACTTATTGACTCAAGACATTTCAGCTTTTCATTTTAATTAATTTGTAAAAATTTCAAAAAACATTATTCCACTTTGACATTATGGTGTATTGTGTGTAGGCCAGAGACAAAAAAAATCAAAATTGTATCCATTTTAAATGTAGGCTGTAACACAACAAAATTTGGAAAAAGTCAAGGGGTGTGAATATTTTCTGAAGGCACTGTAATGAATGAATGAATTAATGAAATGAATGGGAGAAAAAAATATGTGTCTAATCTCCAGTTGGCAAGCCATCCCTTATTGACACATAAACAAACATTACAATAATTCACTGTGATAATTCAGTGATAATTCTTCTTCTGGTGCACATCACATACAGTGGGGAAAAAAGTATTTAGTCAGCCACCAATTGTGCAAGTTCTCCCACTTAAAAAGATGAGAGAGGCCTGTAATTTTCATCATAGGTACACGTCAACTATGACAGACAAATTGAGGAAAAAAAATCCAGAAAATCACATTGTAGGATTTTTAATGAATTTATTTGCAAATTATGGTGGAAAATAAGTATTTGGTCACCTACAAACAAGCAAGATTTCTGGCTCTCACAGACCTGTAACTTCTTATTTAAGAGGCTCCTCTGTCCTCCACTCGTTACCTGTATTAATGGCACCTGTTTGAACTTGTTATCAGTATAAAAGACACCTGTCCACAACCTCAAACAGTCACACTCCAAACTCCACTATGGCCAAGACCAAAGAACTGTCAAAGGACACCAGAAACAAAATTGTAGACCTGCACCAGGCTGGGAAGACTGAATCTGCAAAAGGTAAGCAGCTTGGTTTGAAGAAATCAACTGTGGGAGCAATTATTAGGAAATGGAAGACAAACAAGACCACTGATAATCTCCCTCGATCTGGGGCTCCACGCAAGATCTCACCCCGTGGGGTCAAAATGATCACAAGAACGGTAAGCAAAAATCCCAGAACCACACGGGGGACCTAGTGAATGACCTGCAGAGAGCTGGGACCAAAGTAACAAAGCCTACCATCAGTAACACACTACGCCGCCAGGGACTCAAATCCTGCAGTGCAAGACGTGTCCCCCTGCTTAAGCCAGTACATGTCCAGGCCCGTCTGAAGTTTGCTAGAGTGCATTTGGATGATCCAGAAGAGGATTGGGAGAATGTCATATGGTCAGATGAAACCAAAATATAACTTTTTGGTAAAAACTCAACTCGTCGTGTTTGGAGGACAAAGAATGCTGAGTTGCATCCAAAGAACACCATACCTACTGTGAAGCATGGGGGTGGAAACATCATGCTTTGGGGCTGTTTTTCTGCAAAGGGACCAGGACGACTGATCCGTGTAAAGGAAAGAATGAATGGGGCCATGTATCGTGAGATTTTGAGTGAAAACCTCCTTCCATCAGCAAGGGCATTGAAGATGAAACGTGGCTGGGTCTTTCAGCATGACAATGATCCCAAACACACCGCCCGGGCAACGAAGGAGTGGCTTCGTAAGAAGCATTTCAAGGTCCTGGAGTGGCCTAGCCAGTCTCCAGATCTCAACCCCATAGAAAATCTTTGGAGGGAGTTGAAAGTCCGTGTTGCCCAGCGACAGTCCCAAAACATCACTGCTCTAGAGGAGATCTGCATGGAGGAATGGGCCAAAATACCAGCAACAGTGTGTGAAAACCTTGTGAAGACTTACAGAAAACGTTTGACCTGTGTCATTGCCAACAAAGGGTATATAACAAAGTATTGAGAAACTTTTGTTATTGACCAAATACTTATTTTCCACCATAATTAGCAAATAAATTCATTAAAAATCCTACAATGTGATTTTCTGGAGAAAAAAAATCTCATTTTGTCTGTCATAATTGACGTGTACCTATGATGAAAATTACAGGCCTCTCTCATCTTTTTAAGTGGGAGAACTTGCACAATTGGTGGCTGACTAAATACTTTTTTTCCCCACTG